CCTGCGCTGCGTCCTGGACGTGTCCAGCGAAGCCCGTGTGGGGCTATGACGGGAATGAAGGAGCTGTCACGGCGCCTCACTGCTCCCCAGAGCCTTGCAGCCTCTCCCCAGCCCTGGCTTTGCCCCACCACGGCTCCCTTGGCTGCAGGAGGGAACCTCAAAGGCGGTTAGAACGCGCCGGGTAAATGTGCAGCTTTTCTTCCGGAGCCTCCACGAGAAAGAAATGGAGGGTCTTTTCCTGGGACTGCTTGTGGTGCAAGTCCCGCTTGGGTGCAGGGTGAGCGGCTTCCAAGGAATTCACTGTCTCTTTCTCTCTTTCTAGCCGGAGTGGGAGGTGACCTCAGGGGCCCCAGCTGGGGGCCTGGCTGGGAAATGCACAGAAGGAGACTTCGACAGGAGTAGCTATGGTTTGTGCTGTGCTCTGCACACGTCTGGCTGATAGAAATCTATGTCCATAAACAGGTAACATAATTTGGTTTATCGAACCCATAATAAGCAGATTTTCTGACTTGCATAAGAATTTCTCTGTAATCTTTGCCTTAAGGAAAAGTCCGCTGAATGCCATAGAAAAAGTTGCATTTGATGAGGTTTCAGGAAAGAAAAGGTAACGAACTATTCTAAGAGATGAGGATAGTGCCTGAGTGGGGCCCAGGACAGACAGGGGGTCCTCACCTCTCCCTCCCGGGGTTGGCTGCAGGGCTTTGCCTCAGTCTGTTTTATTTTTTTTTTTGTTTGTTTGTTTGTTTTTTGCAGCATCTACACAGTTTAAATACTTGGAAAAATCCTCTTTGTGAGTGTACTAAGCCACAGCCTGCCAATGTGACAAATGCAATTTACAAATCCTAAGTTCCAGGTAAAGGAGAATGTGGTAGGTCCATGTCTTCATTTTCCCATACCTTTAGTCCGTCGTGACTCCGCTTAGCCAGCCCTGGCCATCCTTTTATCCTTCTAGGAACAGACTCTTACATGCAGTATTTTTACTGGTACGTAAAAAATTTAAGGCTGCACTAAGCAGGTGCCCAGGCCCCCGGAGTCAGAAGGGAGTGTATGGTACACACATGGTGACGATTTGAGAAGAGTCTGGCTTTAGGACCTTGCAGATGAAGGTAACAAACCCCCTGTTCTGGAGGCAGCACCTGTGCCCCCGCCCTGTCCCACAGGGATGCATCTGCAGCCACTCCGGGGCAGGGCTGATGCCTCTTTGATGGTCCCTCCCGCAGCCTGCTCTTTGTCGCTCTTTGTTGCTCTTTGTTGCTCTTTGTCACAGTCCTGCTCAACAGCTGGTGCTTGCAGGAAGAAGCTCTCTGGCTGCAAGAAATCCAGGGTGTGGGTGGATGACAGAATAAATGGGAGGGACAAAGGGCGTCTACTTGGCAGCTCGGATTCCTGGGCAGGGTCAAGACCAGGCGAAATAGGTCCCAATGAGGAAAAGCTCCTGCCTTTTGTTCCAAACCAGCCTGGCTTGCCTGTGAAGGGGAAGACTTGACCAGGGCACTTTCCTGGGGCCACGGCCTGACTTTTGGAGAAGAGGCAGTGGTCTTTGTCTAAGATCATGTTACCTATAACCGTGGTTTGACTTTTTATTTAAATTTTTTTTTAGACAAAGGGTCTTGCTCTGTTGCCCAGGCTGGAATGCAAGTGAAGCAAACTTCTATTTGCTCTATGTATTCGTTATCTCGATCTTTTCGTGGGCTCAAGGCCATTGTTTTTGCCTCGAACGCCAGTACTTGGGACTGTTACAGGTGCCCTCCACCATGCCCACAATTTTTTCACACTTTTTTGTAGAGACAGGTCTCGCGCCAGGTGTTGCGTTGGCCATGTGGCTGGGTCGTTAAAACTCCTGGCCTCAAGAGACTCCTGCTGGCTTCTCAAAGGCGCTGGGGATTAAGGCGTGAGCTGCCCCATTTTTTTCCCAGCCTACACTGCGTTGTATGTATCTCACTTTGTGTAGATATGGCACTAAGTAGTAAAAACTGGGTCTTCATTAAAGCTGTGATGGGGTGCTAACTCCATGCCATCTTTCGGGCTTTTGGCTATTGGAAGTGGATTCAAGATTGGAAGGGTGCTTATATATCCTCTGGTTGATTAGTATTACCAATCTGCAAGTAGGGGTTCTCAGGTTTGATGCCATCACAACATCTTACTCCTCGAGTGGTGTTGGGAGGAGATCTGGCGGCCATCCGGTTTCCCAGTCCAGCCTTTTCCGCAGCTGTTTCCTCTGCTTGTTTCTCGCTGAGGATATTAAGCCGATTTGAAGAAATGAGGGCAAAGTTCACTAGTCCTGGCTTGCTGTTGTACCAGCGGAACAGTAAACACAAAGTCAATTCAACAGGCAACAAAGCAGCAAACAGTGTTGGTGAGTGGCCGAAGTCCACCGATATCGCAGGTAGTGCATGCTGAATCCTTTCTCTCTGCCACTAACCTGGCCGCAGCATGTCTGTCCTCAAAGATGGGGCACAGACTATGGCTAATCATGCCAGCAATTATTGACGGTCCTTATAATGCTCTGAGGAAGCCAAGGAGGACGATGGCAGAGGAGCTGAACTCGGTCTAGTGCAAAGTGCACCTTCAATCACCTGGGAAGCTTTTTTAACATCCCAGCTGCCTAGTTTCTGTTGGAATCTTCTTTGGGGGTGAGGCCTGGCCCAAGTGTTTTTTTTTTTAACTGCTTGCTCACCAGATGGTTCCAATGTGAGAACCGATTGCTGTGGAACCAAGTTGGAGAACATTCTGTAGAGAAGTGTTGTCGTTAGTAACACCTTTACTGTCCGGTGATTGCTGTAACTGACTGCATTTTCCGTTTGTAAGGTATACATCCAGGTTGTAAGACAGAGCAGGACCTAATCATCATTTCCAGGAAAAAAAATACTGCCCATGTTGTATAGTGAGATGCACCTTTTCTTCCCACAGAACATGAAAATATGAATACATGTACATTCCAAGATCAAGAAAATGCGATATTTGAATAAAGATTAATAATACATGCTTATTTCAAATGTCTTAGAGCAGAGTTAATACTTGAATAACAAATCAAACTTCAGCATGACTGAAAAGTCTGAGCTGACCCAACTCAGTGGAATCTAAATGGTCAGGCAGTGGGTGGAGGCCAGAGCAGCCAAGTCACAGAGCACAAGTGCACAGGCACAAGGTCCTGGAGTCCTGGCCGACTGAGTCATGAGTGATTTTGTGCTATATGATGATACGCTTAATGTTTTCAGGGTGCATACCATGAACCAAGCACTTAATAAGTGCTGTTATGTATAATATTTTACACATTATACACTTATTAACTGTTAATATATAAACACACATGCACATCCACAAATATATGGAACTTGATATGGTTTGGCTGTGTCCCCACACCAAATCTTATTTGAATTGTAGCTCCCATAATTCCCTTGTGCTGTGGGAGGGACCTGGTGGGAGGGAATTGAATCATGGAGGTGGGTCTTTCCTGTGCTGTTCTCATGACAGTTAATAAGCCTCACGAGATCTGATGGTTTTTAAGGAGGAGTTCCCCTACACAAGATATCTCTTTTTTGCTGGCCACCATGTAGACATGCCTTTGTTCTTCCCTTGCCTTCCACCATGATTGTGGAGGCCTCCCCAGCCATGTGAGCTGGGAGTTTCATTGAATCTCTTTTTTTAATAAATTACCAGTCTCGGGTATGTCTTTACCAGCAGCATGAAACAGACTAATACATAAATTATTTTATTTTCCCAAGGCATAAACTCAGCTTGGAGAGTGAGCAGGTTGCTGAAGATTACACAGTATGCTTTGAATTCAGGCAGTCTGAGTCACAGCCTGCTCTGCCATCATTACAAAGCACTGATGAATACAAAGTGGCACTCAGCTTTCCTTTAATGCCCTCTGTATGAGCCCTGCCCTGAGAATGTCACAGGACCCATACGTAAGGTTCCCAAGGAAACGTCCACAAGTGAATGTGTGCCATGTGTCGCCCACAGCCCCGAAGCTCATACGGGCCATGCTTAGATCTCCTTTACTTCACTAACCTCAAGTCCACCCCCAGGGGCTGCCAGCTGATAAACATGCTGACACACTTCTTGGATGACAGGGAGAGAGCATTGCTGAGTCTAGGTTGGAGAAGTTAGAGAAAGGGTATACAGGAAACCTCAGAAATGTTTCCAAATATCCAAAGTTACAACACAACAGAAGGAACGCATCTTTCCCATGTGGCTTGTGGGCAGAAGATAGCAAGGAACCAAGGAGTAATGGTAGGTGAAATTTCACTTTCACACAAAAAGTCTAACTTTTCCACAATTGCAGTTGCCTTCAGAACATAAGCTAAACTATGAGTGGCAGGAAAGTCCTCCAAACCCCGAATCTGCTAAATCCCGACACGGTCAAGCAACACTTGCTGAGAAACCCAGGAATGTCTTAGGGGGAATTCCAGGGAAGGAGGCCGACTGGGTCCTTTTGTTCCAGCTTGTCCTATCTCCCGGAAGCTTTTTTTTTGGATCAAAGTTGTAAGCAAATGGAGGACAGGGACCAGGCAATGATAACATATGCATCCCTACTACCCAGAGGCTCAAGAAAACCACCCTTAAGTGAGCCAAAAAATGGAAAAACACCTCTTCATAGACAGGATGAGGTGCAGGGCAAGGACAATAGCTGCTGATCAGCTGCCTACGACTTGAATTTTATTCCGCCAACCACCAGATCTGAGGCTTGGTCCACTCCCACACCTTCCTGTCCTTTTTCCTCCTGTACAATGGGTCCATAGATACTTACCCACCTATCGGGGTTAAGTGAAATGTTCTTTTTTTTTTTGAGACAGAGTCTCGCTCGTCACCCAAGCTGGAGTGCAGGTGGCAATCTCAGCTCACTACACATCCACCTCCTGGGTTCAAGCGATTCCTCCTGCCTTAGCCTCCTGAGTTGCTGGGACTACAGGCATGTGCCAAACCACCTGGCTAATTTTTTGTATTTTTTAGTAGGCCGGAGTTTCACTGTGTTTAGCCAGGATGGTCTTGATCTCCCGACCTGGTGATCCACCTGCTCAGCCTCCCAAAGTACTGTGTTTTATAGTGTGAGCCACCACACCCAGCCTAAATGAAATATTCTGAGTAAAGGCCTTAGGACAGAGCTGGGAGAAAAATGTAGTGTTCAGTGACTATTAGCCCTTCTTTTTTGTTTCATTTTCAAATGTCTTCTTCTTTGCCCATCTCCCCATAGACCTCAGACTGTGCCCTTTCTGGAGAGCAGTCTTCTGTGTTATGCACCTTCGTTTCCTGCAGTCCCCATACCTGCAAGGTGTTTCATGGGAGTTTCCTGAATGCACACATGAGTAAATGAGGGACAGATGGATAAGAAGAGAGACTGCCCTGCTATGTTCCAACTCAGTTGGATCTGTCTCTGGGATTCTTGGATTTTTTTTTCTCCTGAAAAGCCTGAAACCAACTCTGATTTATCTAGTTTTATTGTTCATTTTGTTCTCCTACCCTGTAGTGTGGGCTAGAGGGACATTCACTGTAATGGACCTCCACCACAGGGATCAGGTCTTCAATACTGAAGGCTGTCATCGAAGCATGCCATCACACCCTAGGGAACTGCTAGCCAGACTCTCCTATGAATGTAATGTTAATTTTCAATAATTGGTTACTCACTGATTAAAGAGTCTTATTAGGTTCCTCTCTGATTTACCCTTGGATCCTGACCTATCCGAATAGGATAGTGTCAGGTACGTGTCACTGTTGAACGCAACCGTGGAACAGTCTTCTATTTAGATTCTAAGTGCTCTGAGCTCTTAGCCGGGAAGTTGGTGATTCTGTTTAGTGGGACTGTTTTTCTTTGTTTCTCTTGAAGTAGAGATGCAATGTGAAACTTTATTCATGCAAGAACGAGGCATGTCAAGGAAGAAAAACGTGAAATGTGGTGGGAGAACACTGGTGTCCTTGCAGTCCTCCCATGTGATAACGATGGCAGTACAGCTGTAGGTGGCAGTGCAGCTGTAGATGGTAGCATGACTGCAGATGGCAGCATGAACGTAGATGTTAGCACCACTGTAGATGGCAGTGTGGCTGTAAATGACAGTGCGACTGTAGGTGGTAGTGCGGCTATAGATGGCAGCATGGCTGTAGGTGGTAGCGTGGCTGTAGATGGCCGTGCGACTGTAGGTGGTAGTGTGGCTGTAGATGGCAGTGCAACTGTAGATGGCAGTCTGAAGATGGCAGTGCAGCTGTAGATAGTAGTGCGACTGTAGATGGCAATGCAGCTGTAGAGTAGATGGTAGTGTGACTGTAGGTGGCAGTGTGGGTGTAAATGACAGTGTGGCTGTAGATGGCAGTGCAACTGTAAATGGCAGTGCGACTGTAGATGGCAATGCAGCTGTAGAGTAGATGGTAGTGTGACTGTAGGTGGCAGTGTGGGTGTAAATGACAGTGTGGCAGTGTGACTGAAGATGGCAATGCAACTATAAATGGCAGTGTGACTGTAGATGGCAGTGCAGTTGTAGATGGTAGTATGACTGTAGATGGTAGTGTGACTGAAGATAGTAATGTGACTGAAGATGGTAGTATGACTGTAGGTGGTAGTGTGACTGTAGATGGTAGTATGACTGTAGTATGTGTAGTGGTGACTGAGATGGTAGTGTGACTGAAGATAGTAATGTCTGAAGATGGTAGTATACTGTAGATGGTAGTGTGACTGTAGATGGTAGTGTGACTGTAGATGGTAGTGTGACTGAAGATAGTAATGTGACTGAAGATGGTAGTATGACTGTAGATGGTAGTGTGACTGAAGATGGTAGTGTGACTAAGGATGGTAGTGTGACTGAAGATGGTAGTATGACTATAGATGGTAGTGTGACTGAAGATGGTAGTGTGACTGAAGATGGTAGTGTGACTGTAGATGGTAGTATGACTGTAGATGGTAGTGTGACTGAAGATAGTAATGTGACTGTAGATGGTAGTATGACTGTAGATGGTAGTGTGACTGAAGATAGTAATGTGACTGAAGATGGTAGTATGACTGTAGATGGTAGTGTGACTGAAGATGGTAGTGTGACTAAGGATGGTAGTGTGACTGTAGATGGTAGTGTGACTGAAGATGGTAGTATGACTATAGATGGTAATGTGACTGAAGAAGGTAGTATGACTGTAGATGGTAGTGTGACTGAAGATGGTAGTGTGACTGAAGATGGTAGTGTGACTGTAGATGGTAGTGTGACTGAAGATGGTAGTGTGACTATAGATGGTAGTGTGACTATAGATGGTAGTATGACTGTAGATGGTCGTGTGACTGAAGATGGTAGTGTGACTATAGATGGTAGTGTGACTGAAGATGGTAGTGTGACTGTAGATGGTAGTGTGACTGTAGATGGTAGTGTGACTGTAGATGGTAGTGTGACTGAAGATGGTAGTGTGACTATAGTGCCTCAGGTCTGAGCACTAACATTTCCACACTAAACAAGGAAGAGGGTTGGCTGCATGAGACTGCAGAATAGAAGTGGAATAGAAAGCTTTTATTTCATCTGGCCAGCCTGCCCTATATCCATGGGGTTACGTTGACATGAACTGGGACTTCCAAGCAGGCCCAATCGCCATAAACCTTAGCAGCTGGGTTTCCTACTGATTTGAACAGCAACTTGGATTTTGTCATTATTTAATTCAAAAGAATAGGAGTGAATTGGGTTGGTCACGTAGGTGTTCTACATTCTGATGCAGCCTGTCCTGGTGAAACCATCAGTCTGTAACTCTCTCAACACAACTCTGAGATTCAGCGTTGATTGGGTCACTGGGACCAAGGGTCACTGATTCCTTTTGCAGCCTGTGATTTTTAGACAGAATGCCTGCTGAACTCTTAGCCTCCTTAAATGTTTAGTAAGATCTCTGTCTAATGCTCTCCTCGTACTAAACCTGGGTTTTCAGTTCCTTCCAGGTCTCTGTGGAAAACTGAAGATTCATGTGCGCTTTCAGAAAAGAGGTTCCAAGGAAAAGGGCAGCCATTTAGTTTTCACAAGTCTGGGCAATGAGCGATTTCGAGCTTCCGTCCTTGGCTGACATCATGAACACCAGTGCTGCTGGCCTCTATCACAAGAACAGTGGGACTTCGTGCTTAGCCTTCCTGGGAAGGGCCTGTCCCTGGGTCATGTCCCCACTGACCACAGGAGGAAGAGATGGCGTGAGGATCCGGGGGGTCTGGCTCTGCGTCCACTCATCTCTGTGTGGATGCCTCCTGTCTCCCGGGTGATAACCGGTCACCCGAATGTGTCCTTGGCATCATTCCTGGCTTCTCCTGCTGCTTGATAACCCTCTGGCTGCACGGAGCCCAGGACGGAGAAGGAGAGGCCTCATTCTCCCGGGGGGATGCAGGCTGAGACCACCATTCTCTGGATCAGAGTTTCGTGTTGGGGAGGTACTCCAGGGAAGGACAGTGAGCTGATGCTGTGACATTGCTCAGGATGGAGGCCCAGGGCAGACAGCATCACCAGCTGCCACAGGAGTCGGGTTTCCAGAGGGGCTGTGTCACCAGCCCTGGTGACGCCACGTCGGTGTGCCTTTTGACACATTCCTGTGGAGTGTCTGAAGAAAAACAGGACACACGCATTCCTGATAAGATTGCACCAAATGGCCAGGGCGGGGGCTCCCAGCCTCCCTCTGTCTCAGTTGGGGGCAGAGGGGCAGGGACAGCCAGGAGAAGGCCGAGCCAGATGCTGCTGGGTTTCCCCAGGACTCCGCCCCACTGACGTCTTAGTTAAACTTCTTCACCTGAGCCTCTCTTATGGCGTGGTTGAGTCACACATGAGAGGTTTTTTTCTGCCTGGAGGGGCTCTTCTTATGGGAGAACAGGGGTGCGAGGTGTGTGGTGTGACTCTCAGGGATGCGTCTGGACTCTATCATGTCTGAGTGTCCCCAGGGCCAGAGCACTGGGGGCGGGAGGCTGTGGTTTATCAAGCACCTTCTGCCAGCTGAGGCCGTGACTTTGTGTCCCTCCCTGGAGAAGGCTTTAAGGTCAGCCTCTTCTTCCTTTGGTCCTGAGCTTGCCCTGTCTCCTCCTCATTCCCCATGTCCACATGAAAGGGCAGTGTTCACAGGTGGGTTGGTCTGAGATTGAAATAGCAAGGCCTGGGATTTTCTGTTTGAGTAGCCCCCTCGAGTCAGCCTCAGAGGAGCCCAGACCTCCTGGATGGCTTTCGGTGAGCCTCCCAGTGGGCACGACACTCGCCACCAGATGCTGCATGGACTCAGCTTCCACATTGCCACGGGTACGGCCTGGTCCTTGCACTACCAGGGGCAGGAGGGACGCTATGCCTGTGGGGTGAGTACTCTATCTCAAGACAAAGCAGTTCTCCAGTGTCTGCCCCACTTTTCTATAAACCTGGGAGTCCAGCCCAGTGCATTGGCTGGAAGGAGAGGAGACGCCTCCTGTTCCAGCTCAGGGTGCTCTGCGGACCCCACTGCCTGCCCCAGCCCTGGTGCTCCGGGGGGCCCCAATGCCATAGATGTGCTTCAGGGGGAGCAACTGGGGCTGTTCCAGAGGACCAAAATGGGCAGAGACCCTAAAGATATCCATGGATTGACCCCTGCTCTCTGTGGTCCCTGCCTAGCTGGCCTCCCCTCCTCACACTCTCCACAGTTCTCATGCAATGCAGCACCTCTAAAAATGCTGTCCTAAAAATGTGTGCTTTGGAACAGCAGCTTCCTCCTCTCCAACCAAGTTCGGGCCCCTTCTACCCTTCAGTGGCTGTAGGCAGTCGGTGAGGGCCCTGGATGGGGTGGGCCGGGGGCAGGGCAGGGCGCTGTGGGCTCCGGGCAGACACACCAACCTGTTGTGTTTGGAGATGCACCTGGGAGTGTGCTGATATCTGTGTGGAGGACCACGGGTCTGTTCATCCCCCAATGGCTGCACCCCGGGAGGCTGCAGCGTGTACTATTCAGCCCCCACACCACAGTTATTCTTGTATCTGCCTCGCCGCTGGCCTTGCTGCCCACGACTCCCTCAGGTCAGCCCCAAGTCTCTGTCAAACTTTCATCCTCCACAATTCTGCGCAGCCTGTAAATGCTTAAAAAACATTGCAGAACAGGTGAGTCACATTACAGAAAGGAAGCGACCTGGAAAAGCACACACATTCCCTCCGCTCTGCACCTGTGAAAGTAAGGGAGGGGCATAAGGGGGTGGGACCTGCACAAGGTGCAGCTGATGGAGATGTAGTCTTTGGGGAAAAGCCCTGGCTCTGAAATGGCAAAGGCCGCGTGCCTGGGAAAAAGAAAAATGTGTCTGATCCAGAGATGGCCGCCCTGCCCCAAAGGCTGTCACGCTGCCATCCAGTTATCTCTTCTGCAGTGATAGAATGGGCTTGACCTAAAAATTCAGTGACAGAAAAATGTCATCTAATGCTGCTTAGTGAAGTCGGGCGGTCAGCGGATGAGGGCAGAAGGTCACTGGTCTTTGACAGAACTCGTGGACAGCGAAATAACAAAACAGGGTTCAGGCTGCATGGTCAGCAACAGAGACAAACAATTCGTCCAAAATAAACAAGTGAGCTCCCAGCAGAAGCCTGTGAATCTCCCGTTCTGCTCAAACCACACACATGTGGCCCGCAGAGGAGCCTGCAGAGGCCCCCGGGGCACTCAAGAGGCGGAGCGTGAGACCCAGGCCACCGGCTGTCCTCCCTGTCAGAACAAAAGGTTCATGGAAAAGGCCAGGAGGACACAGCGAGGGGAACCGAATGCCAACGGCATTTCCTGGATCTTTTGCACCATAGTCTAAGCATTTAGAGGAAGCACCGTGAGTTTGCTGCCCTGGAAGCCGACGTGCTCCCCAGACACAAGAGGCAGGACTGCAGGCCTCACCCCACAGCTTGAGAGGCTGTGTTGGGACACATCGAGGAAGGAAGCCTTCAGTGACACAGAACCTGGCTGACTTACACACCCGCTGTCTAAAGACAGGGTGCTGGCTGGTGAACTCGAGCGACTCACGGCAGACCCGGAGTGAAAGTCATGGGTCTGTACCTGTGTGGAGTCCTCCATGACTGGGCTCGCAGAGACCGAGCTGGACTGCGCTGTGCATTGGCTGGAAGGAGAGGAGCCACTGTGAGCCCCGGCTCACAGCGCTCTGCCACCCAGTGCCCACCCAACCCTGGTGCTCCAGGGGCACCCCCATGCCACAGACACACGTCAGGGGGTCAACTGGGGCTGTTCCCAAGGACCAGGAGGGACAAATGCCCTAAAGATGTCCATGGTTTGACCCCTGCTCTCTGTGGGCCCTGCCTGGCTGGCCTCCCCTTCTCACACTCTCCACAGTCCTCATGCAACGCAGCACGTCTAAAAAGGCCGTCCTGAAATGTGTGCTTTGGGGAAGAACAGCTTCCTCCTCTCTGAGTGGAGAGGGCTGGCCCAATGAGGTGTGATTTTCATTGCGGTAAAATGTGCATCACATAACACTGGGCCCTTGTCGCCGTTTTTAATTGTACACTTTGGAGGCATTATGTGCGTTCATCGTCACCACCTTCCACCCACAGAGCTTCTTCGTCTTCCCAAACGGAAACTCTGCCCTCAGTAAACCCTCCCTCCCCTCCCGCAGCCCCTGGCACCTGCCTTCTCTTCCCTGTCTCCGTGAACCTGTCAACTCTTTGGACCCCACCTAAGTGGAGTTGGGCAGGATTTGTTCTCAGTGACTGGCTCATGTCACTCAGCAGCCGGAAGGCTCATCCGCGCCGCAGCCTGTCCCAGAATCTCCCTCCTCTAACGCTGGTTAATATCCTGCTGCACAAAAAAACCAAACAGGATGATAGTTTGATACCCGAAATCCACTTGAAAATTGGTAAGAAAATGGGTCTGGCCATGTTTTGCTTATTTTCCCCACAGTCTCTCCTGACCCCGTGTTGCGTCCTAGTGCAGAATATGCACAAACTCACAGGTTTGTGGAAATGAAACCTTGTATTTCCAGTGTCGGAGGGGAAGGGGCTTCTGGGGGAGGTCCTGAGCCTCCTGCCGCCTGGAAGGTCTTCCAGTGTCAGATCCCCAGCAGGGACTCACCCAGACAAGCGCGTCCCCACCTCCGAGACGGGGCAGTGTCAGGAGGGGCCCTGGGTCCTGTAGTTCAACCAATCCTGACACTGTCCACCTGGAATGAGTGCCAGACCCACAGGCTGAGGGCTCAGTCCCACGAGAAGGCCCCCACTTCAGGTGCCAATCGCAAGCCCCTGTATCTTTGACCGGCTGGCTCTATGTACATTAGGGTTCCTAAGACCCTCTCCTTGGGTTTGGTTAATTCGCTAGCTCGGCTCACAGAACTCGGAAATGCTTGACTTATGTTTACCCCTTTATTGCAAAGGGCACAGATGAACGGGCCAATGAAGCAATGTGTAGGTGAGGACTGGGGAAGGGGGTGAAGCTTCCCTGCGCTCCGCAGGTGCCACCCTCCACAGGGCCAGCTATCCTGAGGCTCCTCTATCCCAGCCTTCTTGGGTTTTATGGAGCCTTCATTACAGAGCTGTGATTGATTACATCATTGGCCATGGGTGACCAACTCAGCTTCGGCCCCAGTTGTCCTCCTGGAGATTGGGGTGGGCCTGAACGTTCCCAGTGGTCATACGGGGAGAATGACATGCATGTACACAAGCGACACACGGTGGGTGCCACTTGTACTTCAAATGCATCTACTTGTTTTATTCTCATCACAGCCTCAAGAGGGAGGGCATTATTATTACTATGTCCATTTTACAGCTGAGGCACAGAGAGGTTAAGTCAGTTGCCCAGGGTCACACAGCCAATGAGAAATTCTTCAAATTACAGGCCCAGGGGTGGTGACCAGTGAGCAGAGCAGAGAATCCAGGACGGTGGCCAGAGGCAGGAGCAGAGCTGGGGAGCAGGCTTCAAGCTCACATTTCCAGTACCTCTGTGTGTGTGCACGTGTTATGTATGTGTGTGCATGTGTATGTGTGTAATTGTGAGCACACACATGTGTTTTGCATATCCGTGTGTGTGTGCACGCACTACCCCTTTAAATTCCAGGATCTGAACCTTGGTGGCTTGGGGGATGGGGATCAGCAGTGGAGGAGGAATCCAACCTATGTGTTGTACATTTGAAGGAACTAAGCTTGCAAGATTCAAGTGAAACACATAAGTCCTTTTCTCCTCAAATCCTCATGCTCAGTGTCAGCTGGACTTTGGATAAACTTCAGAGAAGAATTTAAGCTGAAACTTCCACAGTTCCCAAGGTTCCAATCACTCATGTTTGTGTGGGAGGCTATTCGTTCTCTGAAGGAGACGTGATTGAAGAGGCTATGGAGGGCCAGGTTGCGGAACCCATCACCAGGCTCCCACGCAGAGGCCATTGCGGCAGTACTTCCCACAAACACAGGCAGGAAACATAGGCTCCGAGGGCTCTGCATGCAGGTCAGAGGGTCGGGGGAGGAGGGGCCTTGGGATAATAAAGGCCTTTCCTGAAGCAGCTGCAGGCAAGTGTTTGCATAAATTAGACGGTGGTAGTAAGAATTACAGCAGCACGCCCTTCAGAATCTAACAGCTTCCCTTATTTTGAACAAACAGAATGCTGGTAAAGGCTATTTTCTCTGCCTTTCTGTACAGTGCTCAGTCAGGCAGTCTGAGCTGGCCTGATCTTCTCTCAGAAACACACACACATGTGCACAGACATGCACACATACACACACATGTCTACATGCACACAGAAGTATGCACATGTGCATACATGTAAACACGGGAAGACATTTGTGCACACAAGCACGCAATACACACATGCCTGTGCACACACGTATGCAAATATGCAAACACATGTGCTCACAAGCACGCACATATGCATGCGCCACATGTACATAACACGTGCACACACACACAGGTGCTGGAAGTGTGAGCTTGAAGCCTGCTCCCCAGCTCTGCTCCAGCCTCTGGCCACCGTCCTGGATTCTCTGCTCTCCTCGCGTGGTCACCTTCCCCTGGGCCTGTTCCCCAGTTTCTATCTGGCTTCTCTTCTCACATAGACTCTAGAATCAATCTGCACCCTGAGAGTAAGTTGCTCCTGACTCCATGTCAGTGGCCATTTCCCAGGTTCCGGTTTGTCTGAGACACGTCTGTTTGGGCACACTGTGACCTCATGATTGTATTCACAAGAGCCTGGTGGTATCTGTGGCCACATTATCCCTGTCTGAAAGGCACGGCTAGATTCCTAGAGGCGTCTTCCCTGTAATGGTGTGGTAGGCATGGTTCTAGAATCCAGGCACGTGGACTGTCCTCCCCCGAGACTGGAAAGGGGTCCCATGGCAACAGGTTGTACATCATGGCAGTGCGTGAAGTACCTGGCTTTAAGCTCATTCAAAAAGGGAATGGCCCCATGTAAAGGGAGATCAGCTGGCAACCTCAGTGCTCCCTGAAATGTTAGTCACTGACTCCAGAAAGGGATGGGCAGGGACCCGAGGGAGAAGTGTTGACTTTGTCACAGCCGCTCTTCCTTGGTTGTTACCAAACATGGCAAACGCCTGGCATGACTCTCCCACAGGCCTGGCAGGAGTCACTGATGTATTTTGCTCCACATTTTCCACGCCAGGCAGGGCTAGGGCAATCTCTGACTCTCTTTTCATTCTCACATCTGACGTGCTCCCGGAGACACTCAGCCCTCAGCGTCCTGCACCTGCCAGCTCTAGAGATAACGTGCGTTTCCAGCAGAGGACACGCTGGAGGATGCACCGGCCACAGGAGGGAGGCGGATGTTTGCCGCATTCCAGGGCAGCGTCACTCCGTGGAGCTCCAGTTCAGACCGAAGGTTCAGGCGTGACTAGGAGGAACCTCCCCGTCTGCCACACACAAGCCATCCAGGCGCAACCTTTTATCTTCTTATGGGACTCGGCTTCTCGGCTTTGCAGAGCCCCCGTAACATTGCTAAGAGAGTCAGTGCCAGGATTTTGGTTTCAAGGCCAGGATTTTGGTGCAGTTGAGCCTTCATAACCTCACCAGGTTTTTTCTTTTGGTTCACGTTTCACAACTTTCATAGAATATTTTAACTATTCCATACAAAGTGAAAACAGTGCGTTCAGTTACAAATGTGTTCTAAGGTTAGGCTGAGCACTCTCCACAGGCCTGGTCAGTGTGGACACGGTGTTCCTGGCTGCCAGAGAGCGCTGTCACCCACTTGGAAACCCCACCCACCAGCTGCCAACCAGTCACTCACACCCAGGACCTTCAGACGGAAGAATGGTGGGTACAAGGCCATGGGATAAGTGCATCCCATGGGGTCTGCTATTGAGGAGGCTGCTGAGACGTGACCCTGAGAAGTGAGTGCCCCGAGTGAGGAAAAGCCTCTGGCCTCCTCAGGTATTGTAAACGGTCTTCGACTCGACAGAGGGAGACAGCGCAGCAGCAGGATCGGACACTCTTGGCTTGAATGTGGGTCAAACCCAGGCCCGAGCCCTGCCACATAGCCTGGGTGAGCACGACTTGCTTCATCACCTGTGTGTTTCTTTTCTTTCTTTGTTTAAATCTGTCTGATATACAGAAAGGAGAAGCAGGAGCTTATTTATAAAATGCAACAAGGAAGGAAAAGCTTGGAGTGAGATGAAGCAGAAAAACATAGCAGGGACAACCTAGAGGCCCACCGTGAGTAGAAATGTGCACATCGGAGGGACGTTCACACACGGCATGCGCTGGCCGCTGGGTTGGTTCTGCTAACATTTCTCAGCACCTGCACAGAAAGGGGAATGGTGAAGTATCCCATTTACGGTATCAGTGCCGTAAAAACAAATCTCTCGCGCCAGGAATTTTTAGTTGTTCCCAGTTAGGAGGACAGAAGAGGCTTCCCTGAGGTTTTCCCACCTGGAGGTATGACTGTTACTTTCCTCAAGGCCTTGGGAGAAGCAACAGTTGGTGAAGTGTCGAGCACGGCACCTTGGAAAATGGCGATCCATGGAAATTGGCATCCTTTTCCCCTTGTATTACTCCTAGGGAACCTGACCAATGAGGAGGTTAAAGTTCACAGAAATTAACCAGTCACCAGCCTGAGGCAGAATCCAGAATGGCTCCAGAGCCTCTGCCTCTCCCCCAGGCTCCACTATGATGGCGGCACCAAAACGGGCAGCAGCAAAAGCATCACTGACACCATGAGGTCACCCTGCCAGTGAGGGACACTCTCAAAGCACACTCATCTAAAGGAACCAGTGTCTTAGAGTACACAGGTCAATAAGAAAGCACTAAAGAGTCTGGCTTGGTCCATTTTGTGCTGCAGTTATAGAACAAGCACAGACTCGGTCATTGATAAATAAGAATGTATTTGGTTCATGGTTCTGGAGCCTGGGAAGTCCAAGGGTATGGTGCTATAGTGCTAGCCTTGGATCAGTCATCCGGTGAGGGCCTTCTTGTTGCACCAGCCTGTGGTGGAAAGTAGAAAAGCAAGAGAGCCCATGGGGCTGAGAAAAAGTGGGAGCTGAATGTATTCTTTTATTAGTAGTTCTTTCCCGAGATAACAGCATTAACCCTTCCTCTTAATACTGTTGAATGGCCTTTAAATTTCAGTGTGAGCTTTGGAAAGCAGAATTTAAGCCACAGCAGAGGTCAAGTGTCCATGTAGGCAGCACTTACCTGAATGGACATTTTTTACCATCCAGACTGGGCTTGAGAATCAATTCAGGGCCCCTCTCCCGAAGAGAAAGGGGAGAAGGTAGAGAGGAAGCCCCGCAGGATTCCCGCTGTCTGGACCTCACCATCTCCTAGAGACGCGCACCTCCATTTGCAGGAGCATGAAGGTGAGTCACTGTGACAATCCAAGACAGAGAAAGGGTTGCAAAGTGTAAACTACCTCCAATACGTGAAGGCCGACAAACTACTCCACCTCAGTCTGAAGGTAACGGAGACTCGGAATAACCCAGCCCAGAAGGGGAAAGGAGACTTCAAAGTGCCATCCCCCAAAATGGGTGCAAATGAAATGCAGACTCAGAATCAAGTTTCAGGGAAACACACCACCTGTGCCAGCTGAATGTCTATAAATTGCATGCAATGTTTTCAAATCAGTCATCTGGCCATTGAATGCTCTAATGAGAATTTATAATAATTCAGTAAAGGCAACCTTTGAGGTGAGGAGGAAAAACAAGTCTGTGGTTTTAAAAGAAAATCCTATTAGAAGCAGTTAATGAAATTGAATTGAGACTTGAAAGTCACAGTATTTATAAAGTGCCTACTGTGGGTCAAGGACTTGCTAAGTAGGCCAGGCATGGTGGCTTATGCCTGTAATTCCAGCACTTTGGGAGGACAAGGCAGGTGGATCACCTGAGGTCAGGAGTTCGAGACCAGCTTGGCCAACATGGGAAAACCCTGTCTCTACTAAAAATACAAAAATTAGCTGGTCATGGTGTTGTGTGTGTGTGTATCTACGTGTGTGTGCTACTGGAGATAGTGTGTTGTGTGGTGATGGAGATGGCGTGTGTGTGTTGATGGAGATCGTGGGTGTGTGGTGATGGAGGTGGTGTGTATTGTGTGTGTGTTGATGGAGATGGTGTGTGTTGTGTGTGTGTGTCTGTGTGTGTTATTGGAGATGGTGTGTTGTGTGGTGATGGAGATGGTGTATGTGTGTGTTGAAGGAGATGGTGGTGTGTGTGGTGATGGAGGTGGTGTGTGTCTGTGTGTGTGTTATTGAAGATGGTGTGCTGTGTGGTGATGGAGATGGTGTGTGTGTGTATTCATGAAGATGGTGTGTGTTGTGTGTGTCTGTGTGTGTGTTGATTGAGACGGTGTGTGTGTGTGGTGATGGAGGTGGTGTGTGTTGTGTGTGTGCCTGTGTTGATGGAGGTGGCGTGTTTGTGTTGATGAAGATGTGTGTCTGTGTGTGTGGTGATGGAGGCGGTCTGTGTGTGTGTGTGTGTTGATGGAGATGGTTTGTTGTGTGTGTGTCTGTGTGTTGATGGAGATGGTGTGTTGTGTGTTGATGGAGATGGTGTGTGTGTGGTGATGGAGGTGGTGTGTGTTGTGTGTGTCTGTGTGTGTGTTGATGGAGATGGTATGTTGTGTGTTGATGGAAATGGTGTGTGTGGTGATGGAGATGGTGTGTGCTGTGTGTGTGCCTGTGTTGATGGAGGTGGCATGTTTGTGTTGATAGAGATGGTGTGTCTGTGTGGTGATGGAGGTGGTGTCTGTGTGTTGATGGAGATGGTGTGTTGTGTGTGTGTCTGTGTGTTGATAGAGATGGTGTGTTGTGTGGTGATGGAGGTGGTGTGTGTTGTGTGTGTCTGTCTGTGTGTTGATGAAGATGATGGGTTGTGTGGTGATGGAGGTGGTGTGTGTTGTATGTGTTTGTGTGTATTGATGGAGATGGTGTGTTGTGTGTTGATAGAGATGGTGTGTGTGTGTGGTGATGGAGGTGGTGTGTGTTGTGTGTGTCTGTGTGTGTGCTGATGGAGATGGTGTGTTGTGTGGTGATGGAAATGGTGTGTGTGGTGATGAAGGTGGTGTATGTTGTGTGTATTTCTGTGTGTGTGTTGATGGAGATGGTGTGTGTGTGTTGATGGAGATGGTGTGTGTGTGTTGATGGAGATGGTGTGTGTGTGTTGATGGAGATGGTGTGTGTGTGTTGGTGGAGATGGTGTGTGTGTGTTGATGGAGATGTTGTCTGTGTGTGTTGATGGAGATGGTGTGTGTGTGTTGATGGAGATGGTGTGTGTGTGGTGATGGAGGTGGGGTGTGTCATGTGTGTGTTGATGGAGATGGTGTGTTGTGTGTGTGTTGATGGAGACGGTGTGTGTGTGTGTGTTTATGGAGGTGGTGTGTATTGTGTGTGTGTTGTGTGTGTGTGTTGATGGAGATGGTGTGTGTGTGGTGATGGAGGTGGGGTGTGTTGTGTGTGTGTGTTGATGGAGATGGTGTCTGTGTGTGTTGATGGAGATGGTGTGTGTGTGTTGATGGAGATGGTGTCTGTGTGTGTTGAAGGAGATGGTGTGTGTGTGTTGGTGGAGATGGTGTGTGTGTGTTGATGGAGATGTTGTCTGTGTGTGTTGATGGAGATGGTGTGTGTGTGTTGATGGAGATGGTGTGTGTGTGTTGATGGAGATGGTATGTGTGTGGTGATGGAGGTGGGGTGTGTCATGTGTGTGTTGATGGAGATGGTGTGTTGTGTGTGTGTGGATGGAGACGGTGTGTGTGTGTGTGTTTGTGGAGGTGGTGTGTATTGTGTGTGTGTGTTGATGGAGATGGTGTGTGTGTGGTGATGGAGGTGGGGTGTGTTGTGTGTGTGTGTTGATGGAGATGGTGTGTTGTGTGTGTTGATGGAGACGGTGTGTGTGTGTGTTCATGGAGGTGGTGTGTGTTGTGTGTGTGTCTGTGTGTGTGTGTTGATGGAGGTGGCGTCTGTGTGCTCTCGTGTGTGTGGGATGAGGGGTCAGGAGTGGGCTTTGCAGGACCTTTCCGGGGATGGCCGGCCAGGACCCTTCTGGGTGTGGGGCCGCCTACAGTGGAAGGTGTGGCCTGGGGCGGCTCTGGCACTTGCTTGGCCTCTGGACACACCATTTCCATGAACACACACCACCATCTCCATCCCCACACACACACCATCTCCAACAACACACATACACCACCTCCATCAACACACACACAGACACGCACAACACACACTATCTGCATGAGCACACACACAACACACACCGTCTGCATGAACACACACACACACCATCTCCATCACCACACAACACACCATCACCAATAACACACTCGTGGCTCTGAGCTCAGCTCCTCTGCACCCTCTGCCCGCCCTCCATCTCCTTCCCCTAGGCAAAGGACAGGGGCTGGTCTGTCTGTCCTGTGGAGTCGCACGCCTTCCTTAGGGGACTCCTGTGAGCCACTGTGCACAGCACGCGGCCCCCACGGTGGCCCCGCAGAGCCTCAGTCCGTCCCTTCCCCTCTGGGAGAGGCTGCGGGTTTCCAGAGCCTGGGGGGCCTGGGAGGCAGGGCCGGTGTGAGCTGCTGCATGTTGAAGGCTGCTGGAGGACTGGCAGCCACAGAGGCCCGCGCTCCAGCAGCCTGCACTGTCCCCAGGTTCCCGAGGGCAGAGCCACTGCCGCCGGTGCCACCCAGAACCCAGGCGGGCTCACGGGGCAGCGAGCAGGGACAGCTCAGGTAACACGGGCGGGGGCATCTCCCTGGGCACCTCTGACGCTCATCAGGGGATGGCCTGGGGTGCGCCTCGCTGGCGGGCGGCCTGAGGACTAAACAAGCATGGGAAAGTGCCCAGCCAGTGCCTGGGAGGCCCTCCTAGTGCCTCAGTTTACCCCTTCACGCCTCCTCACCAGCCACCTGAGATGGGCTCGGCAGAGGAGGGGCTCTGCCGGGTGTGGCTCCTCCTGGGCATCAGGATCTCAGCCCCGCGAGGCCCCGCGCCAGGCGACGGGCAGAGAGCGCGGAGAGGAGTGGGTCCTTTTCTCCAAGCCGGGAGGCATCGGGGTCCTGACAGTGGGTGCAGGAGTCGCGTGGTGGTTCTCCAGCTCCAGAGAGCGCAACGGCAAACGCAGCCTCCCGCAGCTGCCTCCCCAGGTCCGGGCTGGGAGGTCTGAGGGGTCCCGGGAGCGGCGTGGCCAGTGAGGCCTCTGGAGCCTCCAATCTCAGGTTGAGAAGCAGCGCCATGAAACACGTTGAAGAGTTCGGGGATCGCGACTGCACCGCCCGTCAGTCACCACCTGCAGGCCCCGCACTTGCGCCAGTGATCGTGACCGTGGGGAAGGTCCAGATTTGCGGGCTCTGTGGCCTGAACGATGCGTCCTACAGATGAAGATGTCGCTCCTCTTCCTTCAGGCCCCTGCCCTCCACAGCGTCCGCTTTCAGCTCTGAAGTTGTAAAATGTCTCTTCTCACCCTTCAGGCCACTGCCTTCCACGGCCTCTGCTTTTCAGCTCTGAAGTTGCATTTTTCCTGCACACACAGGCCACCATCGTCTGGAGCTTTTCGGGTAAATGAAATAAAAAATCATGCTGGGTTAATAACACTTTGGGTGAAAATTCTGAAATATGACGGGGTTACTTCTGCAGCTCACACACCAGCCCTGAGGGCGAGTCCAAAAGGCAGTTTCAAAAGTGCCGGAAGCCCGGAGCGGGTTGGTGTGAGGAGCGCCTGCGAGGCTGCTGAGGCCGGAGAACTCCCATTAAAGAAACACTGGAAATCTGTGGATCAACAATCACAGGAATAAGGCTCTTTTCCAAAACTTCAACCTTGTTTCTAGGCAGCCGGTGACCCTCCCAGCCTCCAGGCACGGCCATGAAAAGTGAAATGTTTCTGGCTCTGAAGGACTTCCGAAGCAAGACAAGGGCCCCTTCGCCCCAAGATGCTGGGAACTTCGATGGAATTAGTCCCCGGCTAATACTAGAAAATGCATTTTTAGATCAGGAGGAGAGTGTGTGGGAGGAGGTGGGAGGGAGGGTTGGGCGCTGGAGCAGTGCTGGTAAATGTTTAACAACTGGCTCTCCAGAAAAAAAAAAAGCACCTATGAGAATACGTGTTATAAATCTTTGATAGAAAGGAGGCAAGTTGTGCAACTTCCAAATAGAAAGCCACCTATGACACTCACTGCACACTCCGAGCAGCCAGCACCTGCCCACAGGTCATTTTGGTGGTTTTTGCCCAGCTTTCACATCTGCAGACAGTCTCTGGGTGCAATCCTCCCATGGTGTGGTAACCAGGCTACTTTCAACCTGCTCACTTTTCTCCATGCGTTCATTGTTAAGCTGATATGATCTCCTAAATGGTTCCTCATATCACCTCATACACACTTTATTGATTAAATGAAAGCTGTCAGTTTCAGCACTACCAACTGTGAGTGGCCCACTTTAGCTTCTTGTGTAGTTGCAGGGGTGGGAACAGTCCTTAATTCTGCATTTTCTCACCATGGCTGTGACTAACCAGTTTGAAAAATTCCCCAGAAGTTACTAATTGGCTCTTAGGAGCTGGTGCAAGCAGGATCCAGCACATCCTGGGATGGGTGGCCAGGCCAGGACCAGCGCTGTTATAGAATGCCCTGGTCTATTTAGGGTTGCCGCATTAGAAATTGATTTTGGAATTTTCTGGACTCCTTTGATCTTGGAGATGACATCACCGATGTCCAGGAGATGAGGAGCACGTTGGGTAAAGTGCACATTTCAGGAAGTTGGATGGATTTAGGACATCAGAAAAAGATTGACCTTATGGTTCCCTTTCTAGTTTAACTCTTCACAATTTTTAACTGAAAGGGCCTTCTTACGATTTAGAAAGAGAATGGACCCATCGGGGGCCCCTTTGACCCGGTATG